ACGCGGCATATACAGCCGCATCTTTACACACGAGCGAATCGGAGTAACGAGTCATCGATCAGCTATTATGAAATTGCCAAGTTTAACACAATGATAAATTCATTGGATTTTCCTTTAATTTTCTTCTTCTCTTATTTGAATCTTTTATTCCTCTTCAATTACTAAATATCGATTGGGTATAGATAAAATGCATAAACGCGATCCATAATTTTGTTGTTTAACTCGATTAACTTCTGGTATAAAATACGTAAAATACGTAATAATCTCTATTTCAAATTTGATATTATTTTTTAATCTTAAACATATTTTACTTGTTAGATATTTTTTTAAATATTTAATACTGATTGAATTTTTATATAAACTTTAATATTGAAAGAATTGTGAGAAATAGAATTAAAGATTTTTATTAAGAGACATTTGTAACTTCTAATATAGTTAGGTAAAATATTTATGAACTTGTAATATTTTTGATTATATACAGAGAAATACATAAAATAAATCATGAACATGAAGACACGAGCTGACAATCTTTTATCAAAGATCTGACGTTTGAATTAGCGGATGAACTTTCTATAATTATGGTAATTTCCACAGGTTATAAATCGTTCTGTCGCGTTAGACCTAACCGTAAATATGCTGTTCTGATTCATTGCTTTTATATTAAAAAGATATATACGATTTTTACGCAACAGTTGTGCAAAAATTTGCAACATCTATTTTAGAAATAATTTTAACTTTACTTTTAATCTTTTAAAACAATTACGATAACTATCACTTAAACTTACGTTATTATTCTTTCTACATAGGAACATAATAATAAAAATTAAATACTTAATTTTAAATTAAATGAAAGATAAGATTTTATTTTTGAGATTGCAACTTCCAAGATTTTAATTTATAAAAAAATTAACAAATTATATATAAATAATAATTGATATTACTTGTTTCTATAAATAGCTATGAACGCAATAAAGGTTCCATCAAAGTGTTTGTTTGGAAAAAAGTAAGATTTAAGCTTTATATAACTGCGATACTAATATGTTAATTAAGCTAATGGGGAAGAAAGTGAGAAGGTTGTCTGGGTCGCATTTTGCATTCTATATATAGTCTCTAATGTAAGAAAATATTATGGCTAGTTTATTTTTGTCACTTTTTGTGGGTTGGGTCGTGTGCGTCTGAAATAATAAATGTAATAAACGACTCGGGCTTGTAACGCAAAATACCGGGGTCATCGTGGAAGGGATGAGCCATCGCGTGCATTCAAACGCTGTGGACCGGCATGCAATCTTCAGTCAGTCGCTGTTCTTCTCCAGGCGCGGTTCTTGTCTTCTTCGAGCCTCGCTAAATCATTCCAACTACTCTTTGACAGTTCGCGAGTGCAACGATTGCGTAATTGTAAACGGTACGTTACAGCTGACAATTATTGTCGTAAGAGTAAAGAAGTAATTAGTGACAAACACACAGTGTTGTGATATGTGAAAAATATTATAAACAACACGAGTCTGGTCATCGAAAAAATCGCGTACTTAAGCAAAGATTCGTTTGTTCGAAATGCTTCCATATAAATATTAATAATTTCGTGTTATTAATTATTATTATTATTGATTAATAAAGTCTACACCGAGAGAATTTTATCTTAGAATTTATCCTGAAAATCATGGTAATCGTGGGACAATATATAGTATTGGAAGAATTTTATAAGAGTTTTCTCTGGTTAAATATTTACCACAATATAAAATATTAATTAAGAAATTATAACGACCCAACTGGCTTCAATCTTCTTTATTAATCAACACTTCATAAAAATATAATTAGACTACGTTTAGGTCCGGCGACTTTTGGTTTAGGTCCTTTTCAAGTCTCAAAATTTAAAAAACTAAAACTCACATAATAATTCTTTGTGTACAAAGAAAGTCAACTGAACTTTCCGTAAGAGTGGTAAGGAACGAACCTTACCACTCTTCAGTGGTTTGTTCCTTACCACTCTTACGGAAAGTTTAGTTGACTTTCTTTGTACACAAAAAATTATTATGTGAAAGTTTCAGTTTTTAAAATTTTAAGACTTGAAAAGGACCTAAACCAAAGGTCGAAACGTAGTCTGATTATATTTTTATGAAGTGTTGATTAATAAAGAAGATTGAAGCCAGTTGGGTTGTTATAATAATTTCTTAATTTATTCTTCACTGGCGACACATAAATACTCTGATAAAATATTGATATTTTTTATTCTTGTAGATATTAATCAGAGAAATTCTTATAAAATTCTTCCAATTCCATATTATCCCACCATAATTACCATGATTTTCAGGGTAAATTCTAAGAGAAAATTCTCTCCGTGTATGGATTTATTATTTATTATTATTCGTAACAAATTTATCTTTTTCGGTAGAATAAATATTCTTTAAAATATTTTTCGATATCTTTCTCTAGTTGACCTGACATTAGAGTTTCATCTGCTATTACGATAATCACTTAATATTTTTATTTGGCCTGCGTTAATGTGCTCAGCTAATCAACTGAGGCACACCTGCATGTATGTGTCACTCATCCATTCTTCTATAACATTATTGAAACGTTCAACCAACCTGTTTTAAATCCGAGTGACTGAATTATTCACCAGTATGTGTGCATGATGTTGCAGTGATTGTCATAGACGTGTGCACGGAAACGTCAAACCGGTGTTTCCGCCGTAAGGAATAAACGCATGTTCGAAGCTGCTGGATGCGTGAAAGTCGATAAAAGCCAACTCTGCTGGCACAATGTGAGATGAAAAAAATTGTTCCTATCCACCCCGCGATACTTCGAACTATCGTCTTCAGTAAAAAAAAAAGGGGGGAAAAACCGAAAATATACGTGAATAAGTGTCGCGTGTGGATTTGCCTAAAAATAAAAGTGCGTCCGTCACGTTTCTCGCAAATCGACTTGGACCTGCGACCTTACGCGCGTGTCTGATGTGAGTCATTCGTCGCCATTCGTCGAAGAATCAATTATCTTTCAAGTGTCACCGCGAATACACCGCAATGATCACGGACTGGGTAAGCTTTCGTTTTAATCCGACGTTAAATTGATATTAAATATGAAAAATATACAAAATTCTGGCAATATCATATATCTACATTGTCCGTATATCAAATTAAGAATTAAGAGTAGCCCAGTTTTATTTCAATCAATTCAAGAATTTTTTAATCTTCTCAATTTGTAAATATATATGTTTGATAGTCGCGGAAAAAATAAAGAAAACAATTATTAAAATTGAGATTAATAATAAAAAATACGTAAAATAATTCACTTAATAAGCATTTTATTTAGATTCGTAGATAAGTAATATTAGTCAGCTATTAATTTCATTGTGTTAGGCTGCTATGTCATCCTGTACATGATGTGTTTATCTTTCATTGTAAAAACAAGATTGTAACTTTTGCACATCCGTGAGATCAAGACATCATAGATATCACTATATAAATTGCATCACTAATGCAGAGTTAATAATTATCGGGTAAAGAGATAGAGCTTCCGTAAAGCTGTAGTTTTTTAATCAAACTAAATGTTAAAATTTATGCTAGATAATTCTGAACAGTCCATAAGGTGACATTTTTTAAATTTTATTATCATTTATTGTGGATGTGCAGCATTTATCGTAGCGAAAAGACTATGGAGAAAGAATTCATAATAGCGGTAATTAATTCTACACACATGCCATTTTTTCGACACGTTTGCCTGCTTATGATTCGTACAGCTTCTCGATTTTGGCGCGAAATATTCTTCAAATATTCTACAACAAATCAGTTTTTAATAGTCGGCGAGTCGCGACGTGGCAAATGTTTTCCGGTGCGGCTTCTTGCCTTCACACCTTTGCGTTGCGTATCGTGTAAACGCGTGTTCGCGCTAAATGGACGGAATAATTGCATCCATCTCCGACGTGCGATTTCGTGTCATTCCGCGATAAAATTCAACGTACTCAAACATGTTACTAAATTACGAGTACGAGTGCGAGTTGCATGCCGCTTGAACGATTATGTCATCGTAAAACGCGAACTCGACTCGCGCACGCGTTACCGCAAAGAGAAAACATTTACAATGGAACTGAGGTATCGGAATGTGGTTTATCGAAAATGTTTTTACGGACCGATCGAATTTATGTTTCACGGAGGGCCTCATCTATCGAACTCATTTAAAACGTTTGCTAGATCCAATACTTATCTTGTAATAATTTCTAGATTACTGCATAAGACACTTTTTTCCACATATCGTTAGATTTGCAGATCCTCAGTTCTATGAATACTTCATTTCTTACGATGCATAAATATTATTTTATATCAAAGCAAGGTGTGTAGCCGTCCTTGAAATGCTCTGGAATTTTGTTTGTCCTTTAAATATCCTGGAAATATACTTGAATTTTTCATAGGTCTTTTTTTGTTGCTTCTGAACATTCAGTTAAAAGAGTCAGCTGAGATTGTTCGAATAAAAAATATTTTATCTTTGTAAATAATATAATATATTTTTTATTTACGAAGTCCAAAACTATGTGTTACGCATAATGTTGTGTATTATTTATAGATTTTTTAAGCGTTCAAATATAAGAGACTATTGTATCGAATCTTTGTAATGCATATATTCATTTTCATTATTCATTTTTCATTGCAATTTATATCGACTTGATAAAAAAATAAAGTTTTCTTGTCATCTTTATCATCCTATTGAAAAAATTTCCTTGAAATGTCCTCAAATTTTGTTTTTAAATTTTACTAGTCACCTTGCAAAGGTTTTATCTTATTACACAGACATGAATGTTTATTATTATCTGAAGAAATTTACGAATAAAAAATTTTAATAAAGCATAATGGTAAACTATAACATAATGACAGTAAAAGCGAAATTATTCCATCAGAGATAGCTTTCACTTTGTTAAACTGAAAGCGCGGACTGATTACGGTGCTATTAGTTTTTAATAAATTATTAAACCTTCTCTCTCTAAATTGTTCGCAAAATTGCTGTTGCAGTTGGACACATGGTTCGGTCGGCCGAAAAAGGCCGGTCGTGGGAGTGGAACGCGTGGCCATTCGGGCAGCAACACCATGCCCAGGCCGCACTCCGGCGATGACATCAATGAGATCGAACAACAGCGTTGCATCATCGAGAGAATGGATGAGGAGACGGTGAATGACAGATTCGAAGAAATGCTGGTGAGTGCACACGTGTGAGACATATATAAACTTTTCACATACATATATGCTCCAATAAGTTCCTAGATATATCGTTTCTTCTGGTTCAATACTAAAAAGTACGCATAATTATTTTATTTATATATTATAATTATTTTATTGTAATTATATAATCATTTTATTAACATACTATTATATAATTATATAATTATTTGGTAATTACATATATATATATATAATTATTTTATTTAGATATTATTCTTAATACACACTTTCGATCATGTAAATAATGTACTCTCGGTAATCGTTTAATAATAAGGTATTGCTTAATTGTATTGAGAATACTGAATAATATTTTAAAAGAGAACTTTTTGCTTAGGCCAATATGAATCTAACGGAGGAGAAGAAAGAACCCTTGCGCCAGCAATCGGAGTCGAAGAAGAAGGAGATGTTGGTATTGCACTACAAAGGCAGTATACAGGACAACCGATCAAAATTCGACAAACCGGCAGATTATATACAATATCTGGCGCAACCCGATTTAAGTGTCAACAAGATCTACAGTTGCATCGAGTCTCTCAGGATCGCGCTCACCAATAATCCGCTTAGCTGGGTGCAAGAATTTGGCACCAAGGGACTCAAACAAGTCCTAGCTACTCTCAATGAATGTTATCGAAAGTAAGTGCGTTCTACCGCATCCTCGAAAAAGTTCTGTAACGTTTAGATCAACCGGTGAATGTATGATTAATTCTCTAACGATCTCGATATTGTTCTATTCCAGTGCCTTCATATATTATGATAGGTAATTCACGTAAAAGTACTATTTGCTTGAATGTTTATGCGATATTATTTGTTATGTTATAATATCTTTTAACCGCTTATGTTACCCCTGATGAAAGCGAAATATTGCTTGTAACAATGTAAAAACGATTTAATTTTTAAAAACCGCAAGATCTCCATAATTATGAAACAATTCAGTTATTTTATTTGCGCCATTTAGCAAAAGATATTTCTAATTTTTATTCAACCATTTTACTTTAGCATGATATACGTCCTGCTTATGATAGAATCCATTATATATTAAAATCCATATTTTTTTTAAATAAAAATAATTTGTTTTTTCTCAGTGACAACCGATACGAACGAATACAATATGAATGTATTCGTTGTTTAAAGGCTATCATGAACAATACTGTTGGTATAAAGGAAATGTTGGCCCATCACGAAGCTCTTACTATCGTAGCCAGATCATTGGAACCAACGAAACCAAACGTAATGTCCGAGGCTGTAAAGTTACTCGGCGCGGTGTGCTTAATATCGAGCGATAGTCACAAAAAAGTTTTAGATGCAATTACTATGAATGGCGAATTCAAAAGTCGGGAAAGGTTTTTTCCGATCGTACAGGGGCTGATGAATAAAAAGAATGAAAATTTAAGGGTACGTTTTACTTATTTGTACAATTGATCAAATTAATTAATAGATTAATTCATCAAATTAATTAGGATAAAATTAATTAAATTTATATTTATATTAATTTAGATTTTTTTAATGATTACTGCATTAAATACAAAAATTTTCAGCAAGCTGCTATATGTTTTTGACTTTCATTTTATATTCGATCGAAAAAACATTGTTCTTTACAAATAGGTTTTTTGTCCCGTAGGTAGTGTGCCTTCAACTCATAAACTCGATTATATCATCCGCAGAGGATCTAGATTTTCGCTTACACCTCAGAAATGAGGTAATGCGAGTCGGTTTAGCTGACATTCTCGAAATGTTAGAGAAAGACGAGTCGGAAGATTTGGCGACGCATTTAAAAATTTTTAATGACCATAAAGAAGAAGATTATGAAGAATTTGTACAGAGATTTGACAACGTACGTTTAGAATTAGACGATGTTAATGACTGTTTCGAAGTAGTCAAAAATATGGTAATGGATACTACCGCAGAGCCATATTTTCTATCCATACTTCAACACCTTTTATTTATCCGAGATGATGTTCTAGTTCGGTAAGTAGACAATGTGTAACTTATTTTTATTATTGCAATCTTACGAATCATTAGAACAAATCTATTTATTTTTCTGCTAATGGCGCAATCTTACTTATTTTGCTTACTTTTTAGAACGGCGTATTATAAATTGATCGAGGAATGTATATCGCAAATTGTATTACATCGTTCAGGCTGTGATCCAGATTTCAGCGCAACAAAGCGCTTTCAGATTGACGTACAACCGTTGATCGATACCCTAGTCGAAAAATCACGTGCTGAAGAGGAACGCCGGTTGGTAGAAGTAACGCAAAAATTAGAAGAAGCTATAGCTAGTAGACAAGAGGCCGAAGCGAAGCTTCAGCATGCGGAAAATAAGATCAAAGAATTGGAACAGGGAACGGCGAAGTCTGGTGGCTCTGTAAGTATATATATGCTACATCTATATACTTCTACATTGATTGAGTCTTTTTTTAGACATTGTAGTGTTTCTCTCTTATAATATCAATTTATCATGTATGATTATATAGAGGATTGCTGTATGTCCACCTCCACCACCTATGTCCGGCATAGTTGAATCACAGCCGCCGCCGCCACCTCCTCCTTTTCCTGGTAGTGCTGGTCCACCTCCACCTCCACCGCCAATGCCCGGAACATGTCCAGTTCCACCACCTATGTCCGGCTTAAAAGTACCTTTACCTCCACCTATGTCTGGAATGGGAGGAGTACCTCCGCCACCATCTATGCCAGGGATGGGTCCCTTACCGCCACCAATGGGGGTATTATCTCCACTGACTTCAACACAAGTTTTGCCTCATGGATTAAAACCGAAAAAGAAGTGGGAAATAGATGGACCATTAAAAAGGGCGAACTGGAAGGCGGTACGTGCGATCAAATTATTATCGATAAAAGATATTTATTTAAATATTAACTATTTCTCAAGTATTTTCTGTTAAATAAATGACGTATTTCAGATTATGCCTCACAAACTAACAGAAAAGTCATTCTGGATGAAAGTACAAGAAGACAGATTAGCTAGTCCAGAAATATTGGATGGTCTCGCGCAAAAATTTGCATCAAAACCAAGTGGGAAGAGAATGGACGATGTTGTTGATAAGTAAATTTCATCTCATCGATTACATTTATTTTCATACGTATAGAATGTCGATCAATTTTGTTGTATACGCAGGTCAGCTCCGATGAAGAAAATAAAAGATCTCAAAGTTTTGGATAGTAGAGCGGCTCAAAATATATCGATACTTCTCGGTGGCACACTGAAGCATATGCCTTACGTAGAAGTAAAAAGGTGTTTATTTAGATGCGAGGGACCAGTTATTTCTGATAATATATTACAAGGATTAATTCAATATTTACCAGAACCGAAGCAATTGTTGAAGCTGGAGCAATACAAAAATCAGTACAATGACTTGACTGAAGCGGAACAATTTTGTGTTACGGTAATTTTATTTGTTCCATTTTTATGCAAATTCTTGTATTGAAATATACTAAATATATATAATATTGATAAATATTAATATTACAGATATCGACGATAAAAAGATTACAGCCCAGATTAAGGTCATTAAGCTTCATGTTGCGATACGAAGAGTTGGTACAAGATGTGAAACCAGATATAGTAGCAGCTACAGCAGCATGTGAAGAAGTGAAGAATAGCAAAAAGTTTGCACGGATACTTGAATTAATATTGTTACTCGGCAATTATATGAATTCCGGTTCTAAAAATGGCCAAGCATTTGGATTTGAAATTAGTTTCCTTACAAAGGTTCGTTTTGCATTATATAACACAAATATTGCTCATTGTCGGCGCAAGTCTTTCTAACAATAATGATTTTTTTTTTCAGTTAACTAGTACTAAAGATATCGATAACAAACAAACTCTTATGCATTATCTTGTGGACACGATAGAGAGAAAATTCCCGGAATGTCTCAACTTCATTGAAGAATTAGCACACGTAGATCGTGCTAGCAGAATATCTATGGAGACTATTAAGCGGACATTAGATCAAATGGCAGCCAATATTCGTGATCTCGAGAAAGATCTTTCGAACGCCAAAGTTCCACAATGTGATGAGGACTTTTTTATAGATGTTATGACAGTATCCTTTACTTTTCTTTGTTAATTATTAATGCCGTCTTTAGATTAATAATTTAATAATTGATAAGATAAAAAATATTTTCTTAACAAAGCCACTTCTTGCCACTCGACATAGCCATTCGCTAAGAAAGCCAGGGAATCCTATGAGGTCTTGCAGAACATGTTTAAAAATACGGATGCCTTATACACGGACATCTCCGAATTCTTTGCCTTCGACAAAAAAAAGTACACTATAGAGGAATTCTTCGGCGATATCAAGACGTTTAAAGATGATTTCTTGGTAAATACGCGTGAATTTGGACTGCACTGCACTGTTAGCAGATCGATACTTAACGTGCCTATGTTCTCACCGTAGCAATCGCAGAAGGAGATAGTGAAACTGAAAGAAGGCGAGGAGAAGCAGAGACGGGCGAGAGAAGCGCGCGAGAAAGCGGAAGCGGAAAAGGCAGCGCGAGCCGCGCGCAAACGTGCATTAGTCGATATGAATGCACACGAGACCCAGGAAGGTGTTATGGATAGTCTGATGGAAGCTCTGCAGACTGGATCGGCCTTCAGTCGACCGGATCAACGACGCAAGCGGCAGACGCGCGTAGCTGGTGGTAAGTTCTATAGAACATTCATCTGGAGACGAATGGAGAAGAGGGACCAAGCAGCTCAACTGCACATGTTTAATAATACTTTCTCTGCTAAACTAATGCACGAATACGAAAACGTAACTCCAACTGAGACTATGCGACGCAATATGTTTTCGAATAGGATTGTAACTAAATTATGTACGGCTGATCAATCGACGAGCTTTTTTACACCAGAGGAGAATCAGGAGTTCTACAAACAAATGCTGCTAGACGAGGCCAAAAAGACACCTCGGCACAAAAAACGTTCATCTAGAGTTACATACTTTCAAAAAAAGAGACAATGCAGCCGTTGTCGTCTTGCGTATTATACAGCGATGCCGTTTAATGAAACGCCGAAAAGAGACATTTTGTTAAAAACGTTTACGAACTTAGAGACCAGATGCGCTAATACTAACTGGGAATCAAGTCCGATGTTCGGTGAAAACGTATCTATTAATCGAGCACGTATAATTAGTCCGGTTAAACAGAGGCGCGTTGTAGTCAACAAAATACATAAGAGAAATAGCATCGTGCGCCGCGCTATATCGAATCGTAAACGTATACGCGCGAACAATAAGATTGGAAAACGTAAATCGTACAATTATTTGCAAAGTCCACCTAACATGAGCATCACTGTGCCATTAGTCGTAAACCCGTCAGTTATAAATTCGAATTCCGCACAAAATGCAAAAATGTCAAAATCAATCGATGGTATTCACACTCAAATACTTAAAAAATCATGTTCTCCGATGAAAAAAAAACTCTTAAGATCGAAAAATTTCGAAAATCTAGCGCGATATAAAGACGAAACTCAAAACATACTAGATACGAAAAATAGATCTTTTAATTCCAGCATATCTACACAGTTTTCAACTGACCAGATGACTAACGCGCAATCGCCATTATTGATCGAGATGAGTGGAGTTGCGTTATTATCGGGAAATAGTCCGTTACACTTAATAAAGCCAAATTCTGTTTGTACTAACAAAAACAATCTGAATATGTCTGGAAAAACTTTTGGAAAACTTTCAAATGAATCATGCATTCTGGAAACAAGCAGTTTAAGTAGAAAACATAATCTTAGTAAGAATAAAATGAAAAGACCAAAGGAAAGATTATGGAAAAAGAAATGGAAATTTTGGCATCTAACATAAACATTATACGATATAATTGTGCATTATATTAAAACTGGATAAAATTTATACCAAAAATACAAAAAGATTGACCAAAGAAAAAAATATTTTAGCTGTAATATTATGAAGATAAATTTCGAAAAACATTAATATACTTTAGAAATATATCATCTGATTTTTTCATCAATTTTTAGAAATGTGATGCAAAAATTGATCTCAAAATCACATCTATCATTCAATGACATTTTGCTCTAATCATATTAATTTAAGATTATTTTATGCTTTAATTATATCGAAAATACGACTCTACTAATTTTTAATGGAAATGTACAATTTAAATAACTCACTTATCTAGATTATGAATTGCATCTAAACTCGATGTTACACGCGTTATTCAAGACTGATAATTGTGATACATACTCTGAGAGCTTGTAATATATTCACATAGTATTTTATTTGAATACATTAGTGTCTCGAGCAAAAAAAGAATAAATATTTAATAAAAAGAAAAGATATTTTTAGTCTTGATATTTTATATTCATAATCGAACACATGCAAATATATATTGATGAAAAAAGCAGAAAATACGAAAATGCAATAATAAAATTATCAAAAGGTTTTTGTTATGTTATTTTGATTATTTGTATACTAGGCTACAGAGTTCAATGATTAAGATGTAATTTTACTAATTTTTTAAATATTATTTTAAAATGATGTAAAGCGATATTAAGTAATTTAAAAAAATTTTTGATATTAAAAGTGACATAAAACAACCGAGTTTTTGACGAATAATGTATTACAGACTATTTTTGTATCAAGACACATATATTTGTAATTAAATGCAATAACGAGTTATTTTTTGCTTGCCTCTTTAATGGTGTTTTCCTCGATATATTCAATGTTTGTATATTGTACCATTTAGCTTGTTAATTAAATTCATAATTATGTAACATGTTGAGATAGAAATAATATATAAAATAATCTTCTGTTTTTATTTTGCAATAATTCTATTGTATTGTAAAATTTAATTTTTTATAAGCGAATATGATTATAAGTTTTTTTTTAAGGCAAATAATTTTTCTTGAAATATATTATACTTTATTTTAATACACAGTACACATAAATCTTAATGTAATATCTAGCCTACTGCAATGAGTTCAATCCTGTTTTAATTTTGCAGCAGAAAGGAGAGCGCAATTAAATAGGAGTCGATCTCGTACCGGATTAGTCGGATCTGGTTTACTAGGGAGAGAACTTTCGACGTAAGTATTATTAATGTAAAAAAAGTGTTTATCGGACGAATAAGGCACGCTTGAATCACACGCTTGGTCTCTTACATGTATATTACATGTGCTTTAGAAATAATCATCATCTCACATATCCGGAAAGTAGACAATATAATGGTCACTAATTTAATTTCAAGTATAAAGAGACGCGCTAGAGCGTCTCGCGTCAAATATAATTACATTTATTACCGGAAAGTGCAGAATCATGTAATTAAATTTTGGTTTTACTAATTATATCTACATATGTATCTCTTATCTTGCAAGTATCACACACGTTTATAGAAAATGGATAACAAGTCTCCAGTAGAATTTTTAATATAATAATAAAATAAAGGATATGTTTGTGAAAATATTAAGTTCTATAATTGACTCTCGTATTTTCTACCCAACGCTTAATGTTTGTTGACATTTAAGCCTCTTACGTGTAAATATACTCATCGCCATATTCTTATCTCAATCCGTTGTTGTTGCAGAGAGCTTTTAAGTTCGGCATAACATATTGGAAAGTATCCCGTTTCCGTCCTAATTCGTTGCTGTGATTTTACATCTCGTATATCGTTGGAACAACAAATGGAAACTACCATGTGGCACGACAAATCGATATCACAGAGAGGAAAATGAAGAGCAAAACTCCACGTCTTAATGAGCCTCGTAAATCGAATTTTTGCATTTGCGAAATTTCGTATTAAGTTCGAATCGCGAGTGTAACAAACATTCGCGAGTGTGTCTTCCTTATGTATATATTTAAACATTCGTATATAAGTATATTGTACAAAGATATAATTAACGCATTTTTATATGACGTAGCGATACTTGCGTCAATACTCGATAAAAAGAAAGTGCACAAGGATTTAGCTTAAAGAAACTGTATAAAATTTATATATATATACATATATTTAGCGCCAATAAAAACGCACTTGTAAATACATGGCGACATGTTGGCAATGTGTTAAAATTGCTTGTCAACACAATGTACACTTTCTTATCGAAATTTTAGCATTTTTTACTACTACCGTTTCGACGAATCGGGCGATAGATTTGCATTTATTTATGTATATTGCGCTGTAAATATATATATATTTCTCATCTCAAGAGTTCCGCGATTCGAAATTATTACGATACTACGAGATGCATTTGTATAAAGATTATTTCGTTCGTAGGGAATTCCTCTTTTACTACAGAAAGTAGTAATGTAACAAAAAAATATCTTTTTTTTAGCGTAACAATATTTTGCATGCCATTGGAAATTATTGCATGACACGAGAAGGAGGTTCATAATTATCGTTTATTTCAACATGAAATGAAAACGTTAATGATGATTGTCTATAATTACTCCTTTGCAAACCTTATAAAATGATCGTAAAGCATAATTTGACGTTTGCGCCATTCGCAATATTTTGCTCATATAATTTCTTAGTATAAAAATATTTTCTATAATAATATATATTCGAAATATTTTGCTATATAAAAAAAGATTTATACACTGAATTGACATACAATTCTGCGACATATTTTAATAATATTTTTTACTTATCTTTAAAAAAAGAACAGTTATATTTGCATTTTTTTATAATGCAAATACTTCGCTACTAATATGTCAGTGTTAATCTACAAACAAAAAAATTACTTTTAAGAGAAATAGCTAATTCAACGCAACATTTGCATTTTGTGACAATTAATGAGCTTGGTAACAGGTTCACGATATTTAAGTCGTTACTTTCGATAGCGGTGAAAGAAACTCAGGGAGTGAGAGAGGGAGACATAGGGAAATCTTGGAAAACGGATATGTGAACATTACGGATCCAATTATGGTAACACGCGATACAATATACATTTATATTGTTTATTATCACATTTATAATATGGATAAAAAATATAGTAATATCGAATTAAAGTGGAATTAATGCAAAAAAAACGTAAAAGAACCGCACAAATTTCAATTCACTTTTTACATACACTTTGGATTCGCAATGTTGATAAAAAACCGATTACTCGCTTCGACGACAGGTGATGAGTATTCGAATGGATTAATCCGTATTTTAACATCACATGTAAAGTGCATGTAAAAAATAATTCCAAATACAATATAGAAGATGAAGATAATATTAAAAAAAAAATCTTACTACTCGAGTAAGAGCGACGTTTAGTTAATGTAATCGCATCTCGTTTAGCTAGTTAATTAACAAGTAACTGCGTGCCACGTGGTGGGGCGGCTATGCGAGGCACGTTCGAAATGTCTAGCGAAAGGCGACGTAACGAGCCGGTTCTCGAAGCCGCAAAAAATCACGGAAGTATCTCCACGACGTCGCATTCTCTGTGCGGCGCGATTTTCGAACCCGTTTTCCACGTGCGCACATTATTTGTACGTTATTAGCGACAAAACGCGAAGTGTTACGCGGACCATCTTATACATGTATATTTCAATACGGCTTTTGTATATTGTATATATCGATATTCACGAAAAGAAGAGAAAGCGCGCGCGTCAGTCGTATTTCTTCGATTATATGTGTTTGTTACAAAATACGACGGAAATCGAAATTACATTGCCTATAGATCGAATCTCGTAATGAACGAATTCTTTGTTAATATTGTAGTTGAATACTTAATTTAAAAGAATTTAAATTAAGTATTCATCTGTATCTATACTGATATGAATACGCGGATTTAGTTGATATACTAAATATTATTATTATTATCTATTGTATATATCTGTTATTTCTCAGCATTCTTTAGCATCGTGTCATCGCAAAGTATTCACTGTTTTAACATATCTGATGAGAATAGAAATTGTTGATACATTATGTCATACATTGCATTCGTAAATTTATAGGTGCTTTCAATCTGAATCTAAATCTTATTTACAGTGATAATGAAACATTTCCGTTTTTTACAGGGATAAAACGTAGAAATTGTATATTTTTTTAAATGATACTTATTCTAAACATTTACTTTCAAACACGTCATGTCTAATAATTCATGAATAACATAATATCTGAATGTAATTAAATAGGCATAAAATGCGGCTGATTGTAAAAATATGAATATGATCATGAGAATGCAAAAAGTAAATGAAAATAACAAGCACATAACGAAAGAAATGAAATCTGTTTATTTCATCGTTAGATAATCTTCGATTCACGCAAACGCAGTCAAAGTCCATCGCATCGAACACGTTAACGCCATGAATATCGAGAGAAATCGAGAGAACGTGAGCGAAATTGTCGGTCGCGAGCTGCTACGACACGCAATCACGCGTGCCTTACACGTGATATCGATCGATCATGTTTAAAAGAAACATACCTTGATCGTTCACCCGTTTTACGCCGAAGCTCTCTCTATTCTATAATTTTTTTTCTTAACATCTGAGGACGAGGACACGAATCCAATTTTCCTTATTTTGCATAATTTTGCCACTCCATCATGATTTAGTGCAAACGTTGTTTCAATATAGTAGTTGCAATATTTATTGCAATTTAAACTTAAAACAAATAAAATCGCAACAGTTCCAAACTTATTTAAATGTGTATAGTATAATTAATTATATTTAAAAAATTTTAAACTAATTTTATATTATAAAAATCATACTATTAATTTTTATATTATAAAATATTTTAGAATCTTATGTTAAGATATTTTAATAATTTTTTATATTACAATATAACATTTTTTTAATGGAAATATAAAAATTAATATAAATGCTACTACACATGACAAGCAAATATAAATGTTATAAACAACGCAATTAATAAGCATGATGGTGTAAGTCTACATTATGCATAATATCGTGACCTAGATATAATAGTCGTGATAATTCTAAGAGAATTATTGCTATGTGTAATCGGCGATATGAATGTCTTATTTATGTACGAAAAAAGAGATGTATTTAAATTGCGAGCTGATCTAAAATCTTCGAATGGCGCTTTCAATATTATCTAACATTTAACTTGTCCAACTATATCTGCGATAATCACAAATTTGTCTAACATTCGTCTCGCGTCCCTCTTCTGGCGTAAAATTTTTTTTCATGATTTTAATGACGTTGCGTAAACTTGCCTGTCGGCAAGAACCGATCACCTCCTCCTCGATAGTATTAATGCATATTTAACGACGCGCCGCGACTTTCGAAAACGACGCGCCCGTCCTTTCACCAAATTCGATCGCACTTCGTAAAACGAATATCGAGGAATTACCGCGATATTTCATCACGGCGAGTTACTTCGAATATTCATCGAACGCTTCGAGATGCGCCGTCGAAGATGATCTTCCCTCGCCGCACATTCCACGCGGCGCAAAAGGCCACCCCGACCTTTCCCGACAATGACGACCAACTCGGACCCCCTGCGATTACGCCACTGCGGGGTGCCTGCGGCGCAATATGTCAGGGTATGCTTCTATATGGATACACACGTACTTCGTTGGAATTCTGCGAAAGGAGGAATGATGTAAAAGTTCTGCTTTTTTTTTTTTTTTTTTTTTTTTTTTATAGTAGAATTTATGTTGTAAAGGACGCAGATACTTAGATATATCCTGAATGTGTTTGACTTAATTTTACGAGCATTGATACTATACATATTAAAATAATTGCGTATTGCATTAAATATGCAAAGACAATCTATGACATTAAATACAACAGTCAAAGATATATATACTATATATAAGAAGTATAATTGAGCAGAGAGCGAGAGATAATTTTCTCGAGCATAAAATACGGGAACCTTTTTTAAAGGACGTCTTAATATTTAAAAAAATGTAGCAATAAATGGGCACCGGATTCTAGAGGTATTTTAATATATAAAGTTAAAAAATAGGATGTGTATATTTTTAACTTTACGTATTTTATCTAGATATTCATATATCATTTATAATTGTTAATTAAGAAATTTAATATTTTTATTGATTAAATTTATATTAAATTAAGATATTAATATTAAATCAATATAAATTAACTATTTCTAATTTTATCAATTTCTTTATCTATTTCATGTCAAATAATCATAAACTTAATAATCAAATAATTATGTATAGATGTCCAAACTCACATTGTCAGATAAAATTCTGAATCATCATACACGAATATTTGGAAAGGAATGCAAGTAGAAAAATCTGTATCTCAAAATGTTTTTAATTTCATATATTAAATTAAAATCTAGCAAGTGTACTATAATTTCATCAAAGTCGCGCCGATGCAAATTTTTTTATGTAAAAAGAGTACGTTATCAGCAAAAAAATAGAGAAATTCTCTTAAAAAATGTTAAAATTTTTGTAGAGATCACATCTAACTTTCACAATAAAATCACAGCGTGTAAGAAAGCGCCTTCCTGTCGGACACTTGTTTGAAAAGGAAAGAAAAAAGTAAGTTGAAAGAAACGTACGTCTTAAAGCAGATACAAGATAGCCGGAAGAACTTTTCTAGGTATATAAATAAAATTAAAAATAAATTCTGCCGGTGAGTCACGCGTTAAGTCCTTTATATAAAAACGCGTTCGTTTTTATCTAAATTTCCATGCGACAAGTTTTAAATGTGTAGTTAATACCGACTAATTTATTATATATTAATCGGGGCATGCGCTAATCTACATTACTCGACTTTAATCTAAGTCGATGGTCGCAAATTTTTTATTATAAATAACGGTTACTGCTCAAGAGTTCCGGTCAATTTAGACGATTTAAATAATTGATTATTCGTGCGACAACGTGTCAAATCATCGGCTACGTCCAAGAGCTACGAAAACCTGAAATAGAGCATTAAAAGAGGCAAGAGAAGTTTTTTTTTAAAGAATCTATTGTAGAAAAATCCTGAAAAAAAGGGAATAAACCGGAAACTCTAACAATAAAGACGACCGACAGTAAATAAACGTGACTATCGGTTAACGATACGGTGCATTGTACCTAGGGACTTGGGCCCGGCGGCGCGTCGGTGTGAAGGTTGGTATGTATGTATGTGTGTGTGTGGTGTGGTACCTTTGCGCGCCGCGTCGAAGCGCTCCGAGAGTGCGCGACAGTCCAACACGAGCGGCCGCGCGAGATGCGTCTCGCGTACTCGTTGCGTACTTCACGCGCATTCGCGTCACGCGCCATCGCCGCCGATTGACATTTGGCGGCCCGCGATCTGTCACCTATTCCGGAGCAGCCGCTCGAACGCGGTCCGCGCAGAGGCGGAAAAGCGCGGTGTTGTTTCGCGCCAATTATTACCCTCCCTCCCTCGCGGAGGTTTTATCGGTCTTCGGTCCCGCTCGATCGACCCCGCCGCTTCGATTTACCGCGTCGATCGACGAAATCGAGAGTCTCGAGCGCGCTTCGCTTTCGAGGCAACTTCGCGTCGGTCGTCGAAAAGAAGAGGAGTCACGCGAACGATCGGGCATACGTGCATGAGGATCGTCGTCCGTGCAGCGCGTCTCTAGCACGACGGTTATATCACGCTGCGATTTAAATAACGCGTGTCGTAGCCTGAAACTCCTCGGTTCGCGAGTTTATTAGCCGGTTTGTTATATACGTTTCGGTAACTTGTCGAAGTGTGTTGTAACGTATATTATGCTTGATGCGCGTGACGAGTGTCTATAGTGTTCTCGCAAAAATAGTGATCGGTGATTTTTTTTATTGACGTAGTGACGATATAATATGAGACGACAGCTATAATAATGAATGTTCCGATCGTGGCAGGGGACATCGTCGACGATGGCGGCTTCAATCGACCGCGATTCGTTCGGGTAAGTTTTGATATATATATATATATATATACATACGTATACTTTACATATGCATATGTGTTCCTATACCAAATTTTACGGTCGCGTAATTTTGAATTAGCAAAGTTATCGTGCGCGCGTTCGTGCGTCTTTGAACGCTTCAAGGATGATCGTTAAATTTCGCTTTTACGGCCCGAAATTAATCCGTCATCGGAAATTCACCGGATATGACCGCAGACGTCCAGGGGGGAGGAGGGGCAAGAAGGGGCGTTTGCCTCCCCTTGGAATCAGAAATAAAATTAAGCACTTGCTCTCCTTTTGATAAACTCTATAGTATTTATGTGTATATTTAATTTAAAACATAAAAATAACAATATAAAAAAAAATAATTTAAAAAAATTAAGAAACAAAAAAATTTTAATATCATCCGCCTCTCTGGAAAATATCCTGCGGAAGCTCATGCATATGACGATTGACGATTTATATGGCGCACATGTCCCTAGAACGTCAATATATTTCCGTCGATCTGCCGGATGATCGCTGTCAAAGACCCGTGTACTTTCACTTTCGTTTCTATGTAACTCTATGCATTCAGGGTCGCATCTATCCGCTAAATTGCTACCGTCTATTATTGAGATAAATTTTACTCACGTTTCCTTAATTCAGCGCAATTTTGTGCTAATTGCTATATCCGATCTTTATGATAAAAACAAACGTGACTTGAATACATGAGAAGACGAAGAAGCACTAAGTACATTTAATATAATAAACGATAAAAGATAATTTTAATATATATAATTTTGTGTTAACGCAAAATGAATAATATCAGACAGCCGCAATAATAACGTTCAGGGAACAATTTTAAGAAGTCAAACAAAAATTGATTTGTAACACTACGCTCATACATAATAAGCATCCTTGCACAGGTGCGATATCATTGTGCAAAGAAACATACGACATACATTAAACACGTGCGTTGCATGCGTATCTTCAAATTTCATCGTGATGAACATTCGAATAGTTACATTATAAAGGTATTATAATATAAAACTCGTACTATATAACAATTTCAAACTAGAGAAATTTAATAAATTAATAGCGAATAAAATCATGAATCGTCTGGAAAAACTAGAATTTTTTTCTCCAATTTTTTTTAACTTTTTTTATATACTTAACAATTAGACAAAAACAACTCTTCTTCGAAATAAAATATTCCGGATTCTTTTTTTATGAGTATATAAAGGAGTAATATTTTATTTTTGAATAAAAAGTAAAAATATTTTTTAAATCTCCAAATCTTTTGCGTGAAATTTATTACTTCTTTTTCTTGTATTATTTAACATATCATTATGCACTCACAATCAGAAAACGTAAACAAAGTAATATTGCATTGCATTGCGTGTTTGATAATA